TCTCAGAGTTAAAATATTCGTATCTCATATGGTAGGCTATGCAAAGTTGCTTAAACATTAGCTGACATATTTCGATGAAACTGCCTCGTTATCAAGATTTATCATTGTTAAAACAGTGAGACGTCCTTCAAAGGCGAAAAACTCAAAATGAAAAATCCCTGTCTGCAGCGCCAAGGAAATAATGTCTCACTTACTAGACACATCATCTGTCAGACCACAGTGGTTGTTTGAGGCAGACTACAATATTAAATTTGATCCCTGAAAAGTTCTCTCATAGGAGAGATCGCTTTTGATCGATATCATTGGATAACCTCCACAGATAGAGATCTACCCTTCAACCAAACGGAAAATGTTCGTATACTCTGGTTTAAGAGTAACAAACCCTTCTTGTCATTCAATCATTTGTGCAGGATCGTTTGTCTGTACTCATAAACATCAGATTTCAGGACGACAAGACAACTCAATGAAGGATGGGACCGGTGGACTGTTTTACGGAACATGGCCACAAGAATACGGTTATCTCAGATTGGGCTGAACGCAGCGTGCACACTTTTTGCCCGTTTGTTTCGTCAAATAAGCGATCTCTCTGTGTATGTGTTTCCCATCTTTGTGTACTCTGTTGCTTATGGATTTATATCTCCGTCTGACGCTCAGGTGTTGGCCCAACCAACAAAGGTTCCATTCAGTTTCTAGGATGGTTACTTCTTGATATCGCTGTTACCCAATTGTACCTTAGAATTGCGAAATGACGAGCAAGTATGCGTTTTTCCTGAGGATATCAGGCACAGCAAAATAGCAAGGGGGTGCAAGATGAAGCAAAGAGTCTGCATAAAGTGCGGTGAAATCAAATTTTATACACGGTGCTTCAGTCAACTATGTAGTCACGTTCTAGGCGGTATGTTTTGTGACTACCAATGGCATATACATTGGAGTGCCCGAATTCAAGTAAAACACATCACAATCCCTAGTTCTCTCACTCGCCATGGTATAAGTTCGTAGGTGTAGCTTGTCTAAAGTCCTGTAATTATTTCGTGGGTACACAACAATGAAATCAGTATGTGAGTAAAACTCACTGTGTGCATATGCACTGAGCATCTTGGTCTCAGCCTCCTTCAGATGCGAGTCTCTATGACTTAGCTTGGTAAATAAATTCTGTTAGGTCACCTAAAGTACTGTAACATAGTTCAGTCAATTAAAAAATTGACCGCTACAGCTGAATCTTCAGGCGGTTCAACCCAAGTGTCAGGCTGGTTGAGAACCCCAGTTTAACTGGATCAAGCTTAGTTAACGTTTGGAAACGCAATGCAAAGTGTAAGACCACAAAGACGATGACCACTGAGACAGCCAACCAGGGCAAACATTTTGCCAGGAAGGATATTGTTGAGGAATGAGATGCAAGAGAGATGGAGTGAAATTCGCCCCCGCTGTTTGCAGAGGGTTCGCTTAAAACAGAGTTGTCATCCACTGCCACGGAGGAGCTTTCAGGTGCAGTTAATCAGGACAGTGACCTTGAAATCAGCGGTTGCTTCTCAGATGGACAACTTTGGAAATAATTCCAGGGATACATGGTTCTCTGAGACAGAGATAGATGCGGTGTTCTTTCAAACGTTGTTCATTAAACAACAAATCGAACCTATATTGAACCGAAATGACACATGTGCACCGGTCAAGAGCCGCGACGAAATAGGGACAAACGGATCATGTGAATTAAAGAAAAGACAATAATAAAAACAGGTGTTTAAGAGATCATTCAAGTAACATTAGGACTTACTGGTACGTAACACGGGAAAATCAGAATGGACGAGTAGGAACAGAATTACTGGAGGAAAGATACTCAACGGACCAAACTGGTGCGAAATAAACGGGCCACTGCGAAAAAATTCCATCTCGAATTAAACCCAGTTCACAAACAACCGGTTACGTTGCGCATTTCAACTGCTGCTTAGGAGCGATGTAAATTAAGGTAGACCTGGAGGAATTACCCACCCAGCGCGCATCAGCATTGTCTCATTGCATGGTGAGTAAAGTTAGGCGAACATATTCACTGCCACATTTTCAACAATCAAGTTCCTAACATTTACTGACAGGTAAGCATACCGTGCACCTAGTTTCAGCTTAACCAGAAAAAGAAAACAAGGCTCATGTAGGGGAAAATGACCCCATAGAAATAAAGTTCCTTCATAGCTTGTTTCTGGCTAATGCATACAAATCCCAGATAGTCGTTTCAGTACCACGACGTGAATGTACAAATAGATGTCCTGGTATTTTGATGGTCAGTTTATTAGGAAATTTCATGTGATAGGAACTGTTACACTTGATATGTACGACTTCCTTCTCAAGACTACAGCTTACAGGGTTGAAACAACAGTACGTCTCTAAGGTTGTAACACTTTTATCCTCTGAAGGACGCATGAATACTTTCCATTTTGTCTTGAAGAACCGGTTTACGGCAGAACCAAACTGGAAAAAGAAACTCTTCTTACATCAGTATGGATACTTACGTCTTTAGTGGGCTAATTCATTCGGAGACTTCAAAATGAAACCAACGATTGGATGTTTACTGTAGAACAATGGGCGTTTTTGTTACGGATGCTCATTTTACGTTACCGTGCTCACCAACACACAGTATATGACCTTTATCCAGTAGGATTTTTTGTCCAATACGGGAGGCGTTGTGTTGGAACTACTTATAGATACAGAAGGATAGGATGAGTGCTATTTGGCTAATCCTTTCTAACCATTGACTGCAGGATCCTTAACTCTCTTTTCCTCACGTTTCGTCGATGCTCACGCAACCATTCAATCGAAAATCGGTTGGCACATACCTGACTTTCCGTCTGGTCGAAAGACCAGAGAATTGAGGTAAAAGACAGTCAACATTTTCCGCATGAAGTTTACCAGAATGGTGAAATGTTTTCCTACTCTAGAACCTTCAGATGTGAGCCTTCATGACGTAGCCTGGTAAGTAAATTCTGTTAGGTCACCTAAAATATCGACCGCTATGGCTGAATTTTTGGGCGGTTCAATCCAAGTGTCAGTATGGTTAAGAACCCCAATTTAACTGGGTTACGCTTAATTAACGTTTGGAAGTAACGGAAACGAAAGAATCACAGCAGTATGACTTAAAGATAGTCTGAATCAAAGCTAGTTAAAGCAGTCTTGGATAACCTTACTGCAAAATGGTACTTATATAATAAACAAATCTGTTCGTGTACAGCGAAACCTCTCGGTAATGCATATACTTAAAAAGAATCAAACTAACCCTCTGGACGAGCTGTTTGTTGCAGAGGAGTCCTGTGGATAGGTGTTCCTTTAATAATCAAGGATTCTTTATCAAAGTTAATTCACTTGTTTGGATACCGTATCCAATGCGTTACATTTTAACTCATGAAGTTATTTTAAAAATTCTGAAAACCTTTTGTCTACGACCAACCTGCTATTACAAGTAAATGACTGTCAATATCTAACCTTCCTTTAGTAAGATAGGATCAAACATAGCTCGATGTTTGAAGTGTGCTCAGTTAGTCGGTACTCTTGAGCAACCAGTTTTTTGAGATAAATAAAACCCATACTCAAACGCTTATTGTTGGGACGAATAGGTATGTCATATCAGTCAGTGAGTTGGTTCTTACTGTACTGCCTTCCTCCTAGTAAGCAGTGGGGTTCTTGCCAAAGGGTTTACGTGTTTAGAGAAGCTTTTTGAAAGTTTGTCATTTTCTTACCTTCAAATTAAAAGACTCCCCAAAAATCCTTTTAGGGAGTCAAGCGATTTGTTCAAACGTCATTGTTCTCGCTAAATTTACCCAAGTTTTTTTCGGGGGACTAACCTTACGCATATTATCTTGCTCAGACTAATAAAACGTGGACAGATCTACCTTCGAAACACTCAACGAGCTAATTTCTTTGACGTGAAAGATGTTTAAATCCAATAGATCGAGGAACTGTTTGTGTTAAACGCACCCTTATGAATGAAATCATAGGCAAAAACCATACTATTGAATGTTCTCATTTTAAGTACCCACCCAACTGAGCACTGATGATATCAACTTGATTGTTTAGTAAATCTTTTCAAGCTGATTACCTAGCCCAGCGACCAGATAAATGGCAATCTAATCAACCATCAAGGCTTTTGTGCATATCTAGGGTTGCTGCCTACTCTGAGCAGTGGACTTTACTTTTCCATTTAACGTTATGGAAGAGGTCTGGAAACCCAGTATAGTATTACAGGATGAGCGCTGTAAGGGAGTTTTGTCTTGATAAATGTTCGAGCAAAAGTAAAATCTAACCAAGGATGTCTAGTTTACTCGAGCGTCACTAAAGCAAACACTTCTGGTTAACAGTTTAACAGAAGTAGCTTGAACAAAAGCGGAGAAGCGGCTAAACGTGACGTTGCGTGATGTAATTCTGAGTGTGTACTGCGCTTAAGCCTTCATTCATTATTGGGGTTATGTACAAAAATGATTTGAAAGGAATTCCTCTTGATTCATCCAACCAAAATAGGTGATTGCATGCATGCCTTTTAATTTCTCCTAAACATGATGTTCTTTCAGGGGAGATTTCACAAACATTCATGACAGACTTGTGAGTACTGCACTGATCTCTTCATGGGAGTAGTCCCTAGTTGGGAGGGTCCATCCCAAGTGTGTTACAATCAGTAGTTGCGATTTTGGCAACAACTAGCATATTGGTACCATTTTCTCTACTAAGCCATTAAACCTATAAATTTTCGGATATTTTGTGCCCCTGAACGACCTGGGATTTTGTTCCCGCATGAAAGCACTAGCAGCCAGAGCTAACAGTGCTTTTGTTTTCACTATAAAAGCAACTTGTTGCATTAAATTCAGTTGTTCGCAGTACATCATGTGTGTTCGGTCATCTGATCTTTTCGCACTCACATGACCTTCACGTCTTTTGTAGGCAGCTCAGCAATAACAGCTTTGTGTAATGGAGCAAAATCAATAATTTTGTACCAGACACACACTGAAACTACACTAGCACGTATGTATGAATCTGCAATCTATGGTTCACGGCGTGTAGATTTTGAGTGGACTATCTCAAAAATGCTAGTCAAATTCGTTTTCCCGTCTAGACGATCCCTTGATAATCGGGAAGTATGCCGGGTTCATTTGTTCGAAAAAACAAAATCTTACACAGTTGAATATCTACAGGCCAAAGTGCGAGAGGTGACAAATTTGAAGAAAAATGTGGTGTTCAAATTCTTCTTTAAAGGTAAGTAAAGCATCGGGTGTTATTAGGTGTTCAAGACATGCATATGCTATGTAGACCTACAGGTGTGACGAGTACCTGACTTGTTGTTACTCAAACGGTTGCCGACAGTTCTACATGTATCTACACCATTTATATTCAGCGCAATGGGAGTCAGTAGCTTAGCAGAATGGCATTGATCCAACTAGACAATACACTACAATCCAGTTGCCTTCAAGCCTCTACATTAAGGATGGACATTTCAAACACTAGGCCCGATCACATCAGCTTGGAGTATGACAAACGGTGGAGATTCACGTGTAAAACATTGAGCCTGTGGTGGTAGTGAAAAGACTACACTGATATGCTTATTTTTAAGCGAGACAGAACTAAGAATCTGACTAGTCACACCGAATAGCCTGAATACACAAAACGACAGCGTACATGCTCTCGCGTTAACTAATAAGTATATTGTCTGCGTACTGTGAGAAATAACTTCTGAGATTCGACTAACATTATAAAGTAAAGTAGATTTTTCGAACTTGCTGGCATATCGGTTTGATTTACTGAACAAATTGATCGGTCCCCTATCCAGATTTATCTTTTCTGCACAAAGATAGTCGGATATTCAGAGTGGGAATAAAATGATGGTGTTGATAGCAGCTGTGTAAGTTTTTATAGCCTAACTGGTGATTTTAGCTACCACTTTATACGATGTTGAAAGCACCGGCCATTCACCCTACTTTTGTATTTATGAACCACATAGTGATTTTTCCTTTCCAGAATGCCTTGAAAGCACTCCGTGATAAATCAGATAGGGTGCGAATTAGTAAGATATATAAAATGATTACATCGTGCTTCGTCTACCGGATTCTTCATCAATGAAATCCTGCGCGCTTTAGAAATCAGAGCGTAAACGAGAGAGACGGCTTTCTGGATGGCCAAGATACCTTCATGTGCAGAGTTTTTCTTCTTTATACAGGAAGGCGGGATGCTTTTGAATACTAAAGAGAAATCAATATATTGCTCTTAATCCAAAATAGCGTTTGATGTTTGCTGATTAAAACGACTGAAACCCCGGGATGAGCTCTTTTTCAAAGTGCCAGATGCAAATTCTCCGTTACTTAGCCATATTTTATCTAAAAACCTTTAGGTTTTAGTGAGCGTTTAAATGCATTCAAGTAATTCCATAAGAATGTATCAAAATTTTAGCGCTACTCATTCAAAAAGCGGGATTAGTTTCATCAGTATTGTCTAACTACCAAATTTGAGTGAAACGCGGAGGGCGCAAAGCACGGTACCCACACTACTGGTCACGTCTTTAGCGTATCCAAACGGAAAATAAGCGTCTCATCACGCTGGACTTATAATGTTAGGCCTTGTGATGCGAAAAATACACACGGACTGTGCTACTGACGCCAGTAAAAGTTTCCAGCGTGTGTTTCACCTATGAGACAGTGCATTCATCGCTTCACCAGTATATCGGCAGAACTGACAGAGGCGAGAATGGCGAGGGAAGAGGGACTTGTTTAAAGCACTTCATATTAAATCATGTAATATAGTCTGACATCACTCAACTGTGAGCAAATCCAGGTTCAGCTTTTCGAGCTCGCAATGTCTCACTGGTTAAAGCACGAACTCACTAACCGGAAGGTCTGTGGTTCGAACCCGACCTTTGCATCTCGACTTCTCCTGTCTAGACCTGGGCAGTCTGGCCATCGTGCTTCCCTTGGGTAGCAAGGCAATTATTTTCTATTGCCGGGCATTTCACCGACAGCGGGCCCATATCTAACATCAACTCACCGTTTCAAGTACTGATTAGTAACTTTTAAGCCTGTCTTCCGCACTAAGAAAGGCCTGAGGGCTATTCTGAAAATGTCTTGGTTTTACTGGCTGGTTACAGTGCTTTTTGTACTTATATGAGTAACATAAACAGCACGATATTGTTTTCATTGCCACTTTACATGTTCTTTGCAAAAGATGGCGTACTCAAATCGCAACTGTCTTGTTCAGATTATCTAATCCAAGTCAATCATTCAATCAAAACTCATATAAATAAACTGAAAGTGGATATCACAATTATCGTATGAGTTTGGTTTTGTACCTTACGGACTGGACGCACTGGATTTAATACTTGTTTCCAAAGATACTTTGAAAACTGTATTACAATCCAAACAAAAGCGCACATATCTCCTGACGCCGGAAACGGTCGGAGAAATGATTTTTCGAATAACCAAAAACGTACAAGCTTGGTCTTTAGAATTCTGTCGTCGTAGCTAGCAAATAAACGTCAGTGGTAGCATTTTATAGATTCGAAAACATGAGCGAATACCCCTATGAAAGCATGCTGTTCATTTTGGGTTAAAAGATTATGTGACAAGAAAGTAATAGTGCAGTTGGCTTGGTTGCGCCGCCTCTTCACCCGTGAAATAAGTAAGGAATAGTTGTAGCTACAAAAAGTCATTTGCACTAATATCTTTGGTCCTATCCCTACATCAGTGTTTAATGAATGAATTAGAACGCAAGCGTTTTGTAATTTCCTGGCCAATGTACATTGGAAGAAAATGTTTTGGATCTTTAGGATGAACGATGCAAATATGCCAGAGACTAAAAGACTGATTCACTCGTATAGGTCTCCTGCTCGTTGCCTTCCTCGTTGCTTCTGGACGAATAATCTAGCAGACCGGTAGACAGGAATGAAACAAGTCAATGCAGCATTGGGATCATATGCCTGTCGTTAGACGTACTTAGCTGGCATAGCAGACCTCCGGTAAGCGAGGGACTGCGGATTCGATTCCCATTTCCGTTTCCACCTAGCGCACTAAAGTACTGATCCAATTTCAGGTAAGAGCTCAAAGTCGGTACGCTAAACGAAACCGAAGATCACAACAAATGCTGTGGAGCAAACTTCTTGAATGCAAAAAGGCATTGTTGTCGAAAACAGTGATTCTTACATGCAGAAAGAAATAGTGATAAATAAAAACCGGATTTTGAAAAGGCCAAGACTGGACAGAAAACGTCGGCTTTCGATACTTTATCAACGTGTAATAAATGATGAATCATTTGAGTTACTGTGGACGCCTTAGAGTATTGTCTCGTGAATTAGTATTTTACTATAGACGGAAAAATAACTATGGTACTCAGTATGCCAGTTCCCACGTTTTGTATCAAAGAGCTTAAATATATAGAATGACTCTCATAGCTCCCTTGCCAGGATATGAACACATATGATCATCCAAACTTACTCGTTGTGGCATGATCTAAAGAAAATCGGGGTGACTCTCAGTTAGATACGAGTAACAGATATTCGACAATGATAGTAGCCCTTCTGATCGACTGATACAATCAGGTTTCTTTCCTGAATTACCGACAATATGCAGACTTGGGAGTTATTCACTACCGTTGGTGACCTTTTCGAGAGATAACACATTCGTCGGAACACAGCAACAAACCAAAATATAGTAGTTTATATAAAAGCTTTTTAATCTTCATGTCGTAAAACCAAATTGAGGGGAAATCGAGACGGCGTCAACCGCAAAACCAGGATATGCAAGTTTGCCATGGGAATAACCGTGAGTGGAAGCAAAAGTTCACTGTCAAACTAATCAGGCATGTTTTATAAAGTGGGGTCTGTCTATTGACGACGCTTTTCACGCCACAATAGGTCCAGAAAGTTGGATAAAGCAATCCCAAACTGAGAATAGTGACAATTTGATGAGAGGTGTTCAGGTTATGTTGTCGTGCCAGTTATTGTGTTATTTAGCCTAAATGCCTGATAGAGAGTAGACTTTTTTCTCTCAAACTTTCGGTAATATCTCTTAAAAAATTAGAGTATCAACTATTTCAGCACAATAGTTATCGTAGACACATGTTTTTTCGTACTCGTATGTGTGAGCAAATCACATGGTTATGAAGTATAAGTGGACATCTCCAGATTATTGATCTACTGTCTTTTTCACTTGAGAGAAAACAACCTAATCGGATTTAGCAATGTTTGCTTGATCGATATCCAAGATCAAATTTGGCACTTCTATTATCGTACGACAAGCATGATCTGCTACGTTCGGCAGGTGTGCCAAAATCCTCTTTGAATCTGATCAATAATATACCATCAATTGACTCTTGACCAATATTCAAATTCTTAATGGAGTTCACTGCATCGATTTAACCAGTCAAATCATACTCGCATCGGCGAACCTACAGCGACTGTTTATATCGCCTGAGACGGCTTATTATTCCCACCCTGGTTTAGGTTCCTATGCGTTATTTCAAATGAACTCTCTTCCAAAACCCATCACACTTGGCAAGACCACCGACAAGCTATTCACGACCCAGCGGTCACAATCTGTTCAGCTGTGGAAGACATCAGAACATAAGACTCCATACTTTTGAAAGGAGCAAATGCCCAGACTTACCCCATTTGACAACAGCAACCCTGTATCTGGCCATGCATCTCGCATCATCAAACTCCACATTTCGTGATCTGCTTTGTAAAAGGGCCAGAAGTAGTTCCGCGGTTGCATGCAAAGATGGCGAGAAGCTCAGTGTTTAAGGCGCGAATTTACTGACCGGAACGTCCGTGGTTCAAACCCGACCACTGTCCGTCGGCTTCCCCTGTCTAGGCTTGGGCAACCTAGTAGTATCCCAGCCCTTGCGCTTTCCTCTGGTAACATGGCAGTTAAGCATAGTAAGGGTGCTATAGCTGAATGAAGCAAAGATTATGCCTCCACCATTTAGTTGCTAATCCAAATGTATCGCAAATCTATTTAAAGGCAAGCTGCATATGACTATTTTGCACTGCATAAACAAGTACAGTACAAACACCATAAATTCTGTTTTCATCAAAGCCTACATTTTATGGCTGAACTTATAACTCTGCACGCGCAGCATTCTCGAATCACAACATTCTGAAATTCACACGGCTTTGAGCACACAAGTCGCGTCTAAAATTGTACCTTCGGTTCGTAGTGGCACCGACACGAGAGGGATAGTTGGGATTGGATACGAGAGATGTGTTCTCTGTC